GCCCGCCGCCCGCCCGCCCGCCGCCCTTGGCGCGTCACCGCCCGCGGCCCCTCCTCCGCTCTCGGAGGTGGGGCCCCGAGCTTGACACCTGGCCTCGGGGCGGCCTGTCGCTTGCCTCAGTTTACCCCCCCAGCACCGGCTGCCGCGCAGAGCCCCCTTCCTCCCCGGCTGGGAGTGCACCCCCAGAGGCGAAGTCGAGAGGCGCCTAGGGAGAGGCCTCCGGCCCTGGGAGGAGAGATCGGCCCCCGCCGACGCCTCCGCCAAGCCCCCGCCACCCACCGTTGACATGGTAACCGACGGCCGCCAGGGGGCGCGACGACACTGGCGGCTGTGAGCAAGCAACGCCAGGCCTTTTAGCCCAGGACCCCCCTCCACCCTGCCCCACTACCGGTTTTCTGGGAGGCAGGAAGATCCCTGCCTCTGCCAAACTGCGCCAGTGTTGGCGTGGCCCGAGCCAAATCATCGCCAAAAGAGCTAACATTAATTCAGCGACCTGGGGTGTTCAGGAATTGCTAGGGGGTCCTACTGATTCCTGATCTAAGAGGCCCATGCTCAGGACCACTCACCCATTTTACAGAGGAGGACGCTGAGGTTCAGAAAGAGAAGGTCATTTGCCCAAGGTCACATAATAACAAAGCTGGATCTTCAGTGTGAAGAATCTCGTGGCTCACACTGTTTACAGTGAGCCAGGAAGATGGCAGTAGAGCCTGCTGTCCTTAATTGCAGACACCAACTGCCCCACCCCCACCCCCACCCCCGCCCTAGGACCATCCACACCCTTTCCTTCCCCAGCATCTTTTTGGTTCCAGAAGCCTCCTGCTTCATCCTCCAGCTCTGCCCAGTTAGCAGCCCAGCAGTGCTGTCTTTTCTACCTCCTCTTCACCCTCAGTCTGTCCCCTATTCTGCAGCTTGCTGAAGATGTCTCCTTTGTGATCCACCCAGCTTTCCTCACCCTCCTGCTCTCAGGGCTGTGCTCCCTTGATCCCACCCCACCCCCAGCTCCCGATGTACCTGCAAGAAGCCCTTGGAGTGCTCCTGGCTCTCACCCGGTCCGGAGCCCCCTCCTAGGAGACTGGGATGTTTAGGATGACCCTGGTGTCCCTCCCCTGAGGCCCTGTTATGGGGACAGGCCCTGCCAGGGAGGTTGTGGAGGGCCTGGGTTAGGAGCAGGGATCTCCCTCCTGGGGGCAGTGTGGAGCAGGTCAGGGAATGAATTGGAGCAGGTTGGATGGGTATATTCTTGGTTAAAAGCAGGAAGCTATTAAATTGGACTAGGGAAGGAGAAAATAACCAATCTGTTGGGAGACATGAACAGCCTAAGCGCTATGCTGAATGCTCTATGTAAGTTACGTCAGTTGTCAGCCAGAGGAAGTGGGCACTACTATCACCTCCACTGTGCACAAAAGGCCGGGACTCAGATCTGATTATCACTTGGCCAGGCTCCAACAGCTAGTCAGTGGCCACACTGGTGTTAGAAGCAGCTTCATCTGGTGTGAACCCCCAAAACTTGCAGATATCAGGGCTCTGCCCATCTGAGCTGGGTCAAAGTCTCAAGGTCTAGGGCCAAGGTGGGGTGTGGGAAAGGACAGCAGCATTGGTGGGTTGGGCCCCTAGTTGGCACTATCAACCTTTCAGGCCCAAGAAGGCTGCTTGTTTCCCACGGAGCCTCCCTAAGTCACATCCTGTAGCAGAGGAGTTTCCGGTTATGTTGTCACCTCCACCCCATTATCCCTGGCCCAAACCCTGACATCTGCCAGTCACTTCCCCTCAGGGCCACAGGCCCTCAGCCCTGGTGGGAAGGAGCCAGGAGCTGTCTTAAGCCTGGGCCTCAAAGCACCAAGGCTGACAAACGCCAGGAAGGAGGAGGAGTAAACAGTTTCCCACTTGCTTTACACTTTTTTTTTTTTTTTCCATTTTATGTATTTGGTACAGGGTTTCACTAGGTAGTCAGACTCATAGTAGTCCTTCTGCTTTCAGCCTCCCCAGTGCTGGGATTACAGGCATGCGCCACCACGCCCAGACTTGGTTGCTGGCTCAGTGTGCCCCAGGGCTGGGGCTGGGGCAGCATGCGGGATCAGGGATCAAACCCTAGTCCCTGTGCTTGCCAAAGCAGGTGCTTAGTCTGCTGAGCTATCTCACCGGCCCTTCACTTGTTTAACCTGTTTTGCTTTTCTCTTTGTCTTGAACTTTTTTTTTTTTTTAGGGAAGGGTCTACAGGGTGCTCCAGGTCTCACTACTAGATTGGATTTACAGTGATCCACCAGCTCCCAAGAGCTGGGATTACAGGCAAGCCCAGTCTCAATTGTTGTCTATAGAAGCCCCGGGGGTGGGGCCGACAAGGCAGGTCCTGGTGTTTTGTACTTTTTTTTTTTTTTGCAGTACTGGGGGTTGAACTCAGGACCATGCACTTGCCAGGCAAGCGCTTATTCTACTGAGCCATCTCCCGAGCGCTGTTTTGTACTTTTGAGACAGGGTCTCTGATACATATCCAGGTTGGTTTTGAGCTCCCAGGAGCCTCAGCCTCCTGAGTGCTGGGGCTGTAGGCCTGTACCACCACACCAGCTGTTTAGCTGTTGCCTGCTTCTGGTGGGGTCACTGAACTGGCAAGATCCAGCATGGGGCCTGTCGTCAGTTAATGTCTGTTGACTGGCTAGCTGAGCAGGCCCCAAGAAAGTCTCGATCCTGTGTCATTTAACTATTAGGGAAACTGAGGCACTAGGGAGGAAAGTGGGCCCTTGGCCACTATAGTCTAGGTCTCTGTGCTCCTCCCTGGAGCAGGGACAGCTGGAGCACATGGAAAGGCTGGGAAGACAGACTCGTGGGGTGGGAATCTCTGCAGCTGGGAAGTTCTCTGGGTGGGGACACAGGGCAGAGGCTCACTGTGATACCCAGGGGCTGCTGATACTCTCCTGTATTGACATATGGCGTTTCCCTGAAACTTTGCAGCCCGCTCTTGGAAGGTTGCTATTATTGGGCCCAAGTGACAGAAGAGGAGACCAGCTCAGAGTGGCCAGGTGGCCTGCTGAAGATCACACAGCCAGGAAGCTTCCCAGCTGTAATTTAAAGCCCAGTCCCTTGGCTGTCAGAGCCCAGCGTCATTCATTTACCATCACAGCACATGGCCCCGAGCACCAGGCAAGCAAGCCAATGAGGGGAGAGCGTCTGTTGAATGGTATGGCTCCCATAAAGCAAGGCCCAGGAGGGTAGGAAGGCCCAGAGCTCTCAAAGGAAGCTTGAGGTCTCTTTGGGTTTTCATGATAGGGCCCCACTCTGTAGCCCAGGCTGGCTTTGAACTTGCTGTGTTCCCCAGGCTGGCCTGGAGATTGCTGAGGTCCTCCTGCCTCAGCCTCCCAAGTGTGGGGACTGCAGGTGTGCCACCAGGGCTGCTTTAAGGTGTCTTTGGAACCGACATATAAAGACGTAAGTGAATGAAACACAAATGATGGTCTGGGCATGGCCCGCTGCACGTTGTTGTATGGCCTCGTTTTACTGACAGGGAAAAAGGCTCAGAGAGGTGATGTGACTTGGCCAGGGTCACACTGGTGGGGCCTGAATTCAGGTTCACCTGGGATCAATACCCTGATCCTCAGCCCGTCCTCTCCTTCTGTTTCCTAGGTCCCAGGCTATCTCTGCTTGAGTCATAGGCTGCAGAAGGTGCTAGGACAGGGTAAGGGAGAGAAAGCAGAACGGGGGGCCTGTAGCTCTTAGCTCAACTGCAGCCCGTGGCAGGCGGGACTGGCCTCCAGCACAGGCTGGGTAGGGCCTGTGGAACAGCCGCCGCCAGCAGCTCTGCGGCCACACTCCCAACGGCCACTCGAGGCAGCACAAAGGGGGCTCTGAGCTCAGCACACTGAGCCCCATTCATTCTCCCGAGGATGACAGCAACTGCCCTGGCGCCCGCCAACAGCAGGCTGAGCCTAGTGCTGGCTGACAAGGCACCCACCCGTACCCCAGCAACACGGCGCTGTGGCCCGGGGCTCCTGGGCTAGCACACTGTGCCTGCCCCCTTGGGCTCGCCTGGCCTCGATCAGTGAGCTTCCTTCCTGCACACCCCGTCCCAGCCCCTAGAAACTCTCATGTGCTGGCCAGGACGTCTCCCAGAGGCTGCTGACATCTCATTTCATGGAAAAAGAAGCTGAGGCCCAGAGAGGCAAAGTCACTTGTGCATGACACACAGCAAGTTGGGAGTTGGCCTGGCCAGGAGCCCAGTACTGGCTGATGGCACAGCCAAGGAACGTTAGCCCAGGTCACACTGAAACTGTCTCCTGGGAGAGAAGCTGGAGCCCACCCTCAGCCATCCACCAGGAAGACCCCCAGCTCCCACCAGGTCTGGATGCCTAGTTTTGTGTCTGTTGTCTGCTCCTTTTTGGCCTCAGTTTCCTCATCTGTGAAATGGGGAAAAAGGCCCAGAGAGGTGATGTGACTTGGCCAGGGTCACACTGGTGGGGCCTGAATTCGGGTTCACCGGGGATCAATACCCTGATCCTCAGCCTGTCCTCTTCTTCTGCTTCCTAGGTCCCAGGCTATCTCTGCTTGAGTCATACGCTGGAGAAGGTGCTAGGACAGGGGAGGGAAGAG